ACGATTCTGACTTTTTTAGAATTGCGAGTTTATATCTCACGATTCTGACTTTTTTAGAATTGCGAGTTTATATCTCACGATTCTGACTTTTTTAGAATTGCGAGTTTATATCTCACGATTCTGACTTTTTTAGAATTGCGAGTTTATATCTCACGATTCTGACTGTTTTTAGAATTGCGAGTTTATACCTCACGATTCTGAATTTTTTCTTAGAATAGTGATTTATGAACTTGCAATTGAGAGTTTACATCTCACAATTCTGACTTTTTTAAAACTGCAAGTTAATATCTCAATTCTGACTTTTTTTCATAGAATTGCGAATTATGCTAGCTTGTAATTGTTAGTTTATATCTCACAATTCTGACTTTTTTAGAATTGCGAGTTTATATCTCACGATTCTGACTTTTTTCTTAGAATTGTGATTTATGAACTTGCAATTGAGTTTACATCTCACAATTCTGACTTTTTTAAAACTGCAAGTTAATATCTCAATTCTGACCTTTTTTCATAGAATTGCGAATTATGCTAGCTTGTAATTGTTTATATCTCACGATTCTGACTTTTTTTTTTAATTGCACGTTTATACCTCACGATTCTGACTTTTTTAGAATTGCAAGTTTATATCTCACGATTCTGACTTTTTTAGAATTGCAATTGATGATTTTTCTTAGAATTGTGATTTATGCTAACTTGTAATTGTTAGTTTGTATCTCACAATTGACTTTTTTTCCTAGAATTGCTTGTTTACATCTGACAATTCTGACTTTTTAGAATTGCAAGTTTATATCACAATTCTGACTTTTTTAGAATTGCGAGATTATATCTCACGATTGTGACTTTTTTCTTAGAATTGTGATTTATGAACTTGCAATTGCGAGATTATATCTCACAATTCTGACTTTTTTTAAACGGCAAGTTAATATCTCACAATTCTGACATTTTTTGTAGAATTGTGAATCATGCTAGCTTGTAATTGTTAGTTTGTAACTCACAATTGACGTTTTTAGAATTGTGAGTTTATATCTCACGATTCTGACTTTTTTCTTAGAATTGTGATTTATGAACTTGCAATTGAGTTTACATCTCACAATTCTGACTTTTTTTCATAGAATTGTGAATTATGCTAGCTCGTACTTGTTAGTTTGTAACTCACAATTGACTTTTTTAGAATCATGAGTTTATATCTCACGATTCTGACATTTTTAGTCTCACGATTCTGACTTTTTTAGAATTGCGAGTTTATATCTCACGATTCTGACTTTTTTCTTAGAATTGTGATTTATGAACTTGCAATTGAGTTTACATCTCACAATTCTGACTTTTTTAAAACTGTAAGTTAATATCTCACAATTCTGACCTTTTCTCATAGAATTGCGAATTATGCTAGCTTGTAATTGTTAGTTTATACCTCACAATTCTGACTTTTTTAGAATTGCGAGTTTATATCTCAAGATTCTGACTTTTTTAGAATTGCGAGTTTATACCTCACGATTCTGAATTTTTTTTCTTAGAATTATGATTTATGAACTTGCAATTGAGAGTTTACATCTCACAATTCTGACTTTTTTAAAACTGTAAGTTAATATCTCACAATTCTGACCTTTTTTTGTAGAATTGTGAATTATGCTAACTTGTAATTGTTCGTTTGTATCTCACAATTGACTTTTTTTCGTAGAATTGCTTGTTTACATCTGACAATTCTGACTTTTTAGAATTGCGAGTTTATATCACAATTCTGACTTTTTCAGAATTGCGAGTTTATATCTCAAGATTCTAACTTTTTTTAGAATTGCGAGTTTATATCTCAAGATTCTAACTTTTTTTTAGAATTGCGAGTTTATATCTCAAGATTCTAACTTTTTTTCTCAGAATTGCACATTTTTTCTCAAAATTCTGACATTTTTGAGAGATTGAGGGATTATATCACACAATTCTGTCTTTTTTCTTAGAACTGAGTTATAAACTTGCAATTGTGAGTTTACAATCTCACAATTGATTATTTTTTTTAGAATTGCGAGTTTGTCTCACAATTCTGACCTTTTTCTCAGAATTCTGACTTTTCTTAGAATTGCATGTTTACATCTCACAATTATGACTTTTTCTAGTAATGTGAATTATAAACTTGCAGTTGCGAGTTTGTATCTCACAATTCAGATTTTTTTCCTCAGAATTCGGAGTTTGCATCTTGCAATTCAGTTTTTTTTCCTCACATTTTAGACACCTGACCTGACCACATGCACATGCAGAATTCTTAGAAAAAAAGAAAGAACTGCAAGATCTAATCTAGTCAAAAAAAAAATCTAAATTTTGAGATATAAAGTCGCAGTTGCAAGAAAAAAGTCAGAATTGTGAGAGAAAAGGTTGCAGTTACCATTTTTGTATTTTTATTCAGTGGTGGAAATAAGCTTCCTTAAATAAATAGCTTGGTTGAGTAATAATAGAGCTGGAAGACTAGCTTTGGTCCTCACTTGGTACTCAGGAAATTGTTCAGGGCGGCTGCCTCCATTACATATTAGAAACGTCCAGTAGAGGCTGTTATGTGTGTGTAAAGTACCGTATGGCTTGTGGTCCAGTTCAGCAGGACGGCATTAAAACAGCTCACACTGAACTCAGCTTTACCAAACCCCGCACAGAGTCTTCATGGAGCGAGTCCTGGCTGGCGGGGTCGAAGAGCTGTGCCGGGTGAACGTGGTGACCCAGGTGGGTGGCGCATGGCAGAGCTGTGGGTGGGGAGGGCATCTCCTCCGGACTGATGAAATGTTGATGGTGTAGGTGATGGTGACAGTGGATCTCAGAGTCTCGCAGGGCCATCAGCTCTCCTCCACAGCTGAGGCCTGGGATAGAGGAGGGCAGCGAGGGCTGAGAGGGGCCCAGAGTGGAGCACGGGCCACCCAGAGAGGTCTTAGCCTGAAGGGGTGCGCCTCCGCCCAGAATGACCGTCTGACTGTGGAGCAGCGGGTTGGTGGCGGCCTGCAAAACGAATTTGGTGCTCTGAATGCACTGGTCTTGAGCACACTGGGAGGAAGGATGAAGGACAGAGAGAAAAGGGAAAGCCAAGAGGAAGTCAGACCCAACAAAGAATAAAATGTTCCCAGGGCTCCAAACTGCTAATGACTGTTGTGCTACGGATATAAATGAACTGTGCAGTATCATAGAGACTCTTCCCTGTTGGTCACCAGCATATGTTGTGTTTTAGATGCTGGCATGGTTTTGTTCATGGTCATGTCAAGCAACCAAGTGACGGATGGATTTGTGCAGAAATATCATACTCTTTGAATGGACATCTATATACAAATGGCAACTAGATTTTGAAATTTTGTCACACATTTGTAGGGTTATTTGTTGTTTTGGAGCCCTGGGTCAGATAAGACCAGTCTCTGGTGGTTAGAATGACTAAACGATTATTATTAGAAGATTAAAAAGTTTAGAGAGTGCGCTGACCAAAAGTGTAAAGATAGACAGAGAAAGAAGTTAGAAGTTAATAATATCTGGGTGAATATCACCAAACCTGCAAAGAACATGTTGAGGACATATTTCACTTCAAAATCAAGAAAGAAATAGTGTAATGAAAAAAGCCTATTTTTGGACCATTAAGATGAAGGGAAAAAATATATCTTGTAATTTTTGAACAATTTAACACACCCATGCTGAGTAAATGTATGACTTTTATTACACTTTTATTATTATTATTTATTACACATCGTCTCCCAATCACATAAATGTTGCTGTGTCGATGTAGATTCAACAAATCATGACCATTTTAGTGAAAATATTTGCGTTGAAAATTTTAGAAATTAGAAAAAGTGTTCGAAAACAATTAGAAATTGTTGTTTTTATTATTATTGTACAACCATTCAAAATTTGGGGGTCAGTAATTGTTTTTTTTTTTTAAACAATTAATATTTTTATTCAGTGAGGATGCATTAAATTGATCAAAAGTGGCAATAAAAACTGTAAAGAAAAACTGTATATAATGCAAATAAATGCTGATCATTTGAACTTTCTATGCACCAAAGAATCCTGGGTTCACGGTTTACACAAAATAAATAAACAAACAAATATAAACATAAAATAATATAAACACTATATAAACAAAATACAAACAAAAAAATAAAATAAATAAAAAGCAGCACAACTGTTTTCAACTGAAATAATAATAAATCTTAAGCAATGATTCTTAAGCATTAAATCAGCATAACAATCATTTCTGAAGGATAATGTGAGACTTGTTTCTGGAGTAATGGCTGCTGAAAATTCAAGTTTAAATAAGATTTGAAAATATATAAAAAAATAAAAAAGAATTTTAAATTGCAATGATATTTCACAGTATTACAGTTTTAATTTATTTTTGATCAAATAAATGCAGCCTTGGGGAGAATAAGAGACTTCTTTCAAAAACATAAAAATGTGTTAACATTAGTTAAACTAAGAATGAACAATATTCTACAGCATTTATTAATTAACGTTAATTTCAACATTTACTAACGCATTATTAAAATCAAAAGTTGTTACTATGCACTGTGAACTAACATGAACTAACAAGCATTGTCATTGTTTGTTCATTTTAGTTAATACATTAACTAATGGAACCTTATCGCATAGTGTTACCAAAAAATCTTGCCAGTTGAAAAATAAATATGTATCTTTAGTGTGTCCCCATTTATCAAACACAGCACTCAGTCTCTGGGAACTTTGTGCAAAACTTTGAATTCCAGATTTTCAGTCTGGTCTCAGACTTCTGGACTCCACTATATATTTCAAATCGCTGTTCACAGCTTTGCTGAAACCTCGAAGTGGTTTGAGCATAAATGGCTTCATTATAATGGCTCCAGCACAACAGGCTGGACACATACGGTCAGACACATACACAGGTCAGAGGTCAGCCGTCTTACCATGTGACTCTGGACTTGATTAGAGGGGCAGGCGCCGGTGCCGTTTGTCTGGGCCGCAGGCTGCGGGGTGTCTGGTTGGACAAAACCTCGTCTGTCAATCAAGCTGCAAAGACAAAGGAAGTGGATGATAGATTCTGACTGTGAGTCAGGGAACGTGGGTGAGGGAGGCGGAGAGAGAAGAGGATCTGTACATGTGTGTGTGTGTGTGTGCGTGCACAGAGTCCTCCTCCAACTCAACATGCCCACACACAGAGCAGATGGCAGCCAGTGATGCTGTGCCCACTTCTGCTTTGTGTTCCTGGCTCCATGAGAAAGTCATTAATGGCGTGCGGAACTCTTGTGTGGGTGTGTGAGCAGGTTTTGACGTCAGCAAGCCTCCTCACGCACCATCTGAATCAGGATGGGAACATTCCTCGGTTGTCTTAAGATATTCGCACTTCCCGGAGTGGTTTTTGCCTCTTATATTGAAATGACTGAGTGAGAAACCTGCTGAGGTCACCAATCTTTTCACAAGATCAGCATGGATCCCTCGGCTGATAACATGCCTAGATAATGATTTTCTGAGAAAGCTGATTAATATCTTATTTGAAATGGACTTTTTCTGTGGACTGCAATTAAATTCTCTGATACAGAGATATGAATGATGTAAAGAACAAAGCTTTGTTATAGGAATTTTTGCTGTAGCTTTGGAATACTTTTTTCTATGCATATTAATAACTTACTAGATTTGTCAACCAACAACAGCAGAGGTGATTTGCTTAAATTAAGTAATAAAGTTTAACATATGTGACTCTGAACCACAAAATCAGTCATAAGGGTCAATTTTTTTTTTAATTGAATAAATAAATATTGAATAAATAAACTTTGCATTGATGTATGGTTTGTTAGGATAGGACAATATTTGGTCGAGATACAATTATTTGAAAATCTGGAATCTGAGGGTACAAAAAAATTAAAATATTGAGAAAATCGCCTTTAAAGTTGTCCAAATTAAGTTCTTAAAAATGCACATTACTAATCAAAAATTAAGTTTTGATATATTTACAGTAGGACATTTACAAAATATCTTTATGGAACATGATCTTTACTTAAAAAAAGAAAAATCAATAATTTTGACCCATACAATGTATTTTTGGCTATTGCTACAAATATACCCCAGCGACTTAAGACTAGTTTTGTGCTCCAGGGTCACATATTATATATTTCTGCTAGAGACATGAAAGGAATAGTTCACCAAAAAAAGAAAATTATTTAATTATTTACTCACCCTCGTGTCGATCCTAATCCCATAAGATTAAAATTGAGTAATCTATCTACATAATAATAATAATAAATAAAAAAATGCAACATTTAGGGATCCACCTATTTTAAATTTCTGTCTGATAAGCCAATAATTGCTTTTATGTTACGGCCGATAGCTAATATTAAAATTATATAAGTTTTATTACAATTTAAATGAAAGTCTAAAACCTAAACTCAGTATTTTTTCAATCAAATTAATTTATGCATCACAACATTTGCTAAAGATGTAACCATTTATTAACTTCTTAATATATTTAATATCAAATGTGACATATTGCCCATCCTAAGCTAAATTACTTTTGCAGTGTTATTTATTTCCAAGGTTGTAATTGGGCATCACAGAAATTTAAACATGCAACATAATTAGGTAACAGAAATATAACACTCTTTAAAAACGGTTGTCTTGTTTTTCTTAAAGGTAGTAAGCAGTATATACTGTAGGGGTGGGAAGCGCAGGGTACCTCACGATATGATACGAATCACGATACATGGCTCACGATAC